AATGAAAGCTCATAAATGCACAGTAGACATGGAAGCTGTGCGAGCAGCAATGGTATGCTCCACAAACAAATCGGAGCGGGGGAAGGAAGATGAAAACAATGCGCTCATGACGTTCGATGACAGCGATGACGACGACCCTGGCGACGAGGCGGCCGGCGACTACGATGGCCACGACAAGGATCATGATGATCTACCTGCAGTGTTTGACGACCACTGGGACGATGGTATGCGACGACTCCAATGGCCGTGTGTGTGTGTGACAATATTGATTAGCCTCCCGTGGTCACGACGAGAAGAAGATGACAGGATTACGCATGTGATGCTGTGATGATGATGGATGATATGTAGATGCGAATACAAGCCGAGAGTAAGGCATGCTAAATCAGAAAGAATCGATGAACAATGATGCTGATGCTGACAATAGCAATTCTATAAGCCTGTCAGAGTGCATGGAGCTGATAATGTAGATGACAACGATGGCGACAAAGGCTACAACGCAACGACTTGGCGGGGACTGTCACGATAGCGACGATGAGGAGGAGGAGGAGGAGGAGAAAAGGAGCATGTGTGCAAGGAGGGCATGATGACAATCTTGACGATGGCCACCCCTGCGATAACGATGATAGGATCATTGCTGTGCTGCGTCTAGTGATGGCCTTGTGGGCAAAGAATGCGGACAGGTGCTGAGGGATGCTACATGATAGCTGGTGAGCGAGAAAGCAGGTTACACATCATACATGACAAATGACACTGATGCTGAGGCTCTTTCGCGAAAATGGCTGCCGCGTTGGTCAAAGTGGGTAGATGACATGAACAGCTTTCGACAACAAACGATACTGATTTTGTTTCGGAATCGAAGATTGCAATGCGATCATGGTTGCCATGTACATACCTTTCCCTCTCACCTCAAAGAATCCGGCACTGTCAACCCAAGCAGCCTTGAAATTGAAACTCGAACCATACCTTTGGGTCTCGGGAACTATTTTGAAAAATCGATCATCGGCTCCAGGCCCACTGGGTGCGAAAGAGTACGGAAACAATTTGCTAAACTGGCTTTCGGGATGTTGCTGGGAAGAGCTAGATACCAACAGCTTCCAACGGAGCGGCGCGCAGGAAGTCTGCTCTCGAATTTCTATGCTCGGAAAAATCATTGCTTTTGCTTAGACGCCCTTGGCATTCCGGCCATCTCTGCAGCAATTCCATCAGCGCAACCAGCATCACACCTTGAATCGAGGCTGACTGCTAGACAAATCTTGCGGCCCCTTCGCACAGCGTGCTTCTACATCTTCATTGTGACTACCAGAGAGTCTCAGCAATGCCAAAAACTTGGAAGACTCCCGTGAAAGTTGTCCGGGTTGAGTCAAGGTTTGGGGTGCCAAGAGAGACATGTAAGGCTCCTGCAGACAAAGTTCTCACCGTCCACATTTAAAGATGGAACCTTGTGGAGTGAATGCCCAAGCAGGCAGGGACCCCGAGCTCCCTGCGTGTTGCTGACGCTCTGGCGAACCAACCCTGCAAATACTGCAAGCCATGGCAAGTCCATCTCCCATACTCCTACGCCTTCGGAAAATGAGCATCTGCTGGCACCGCCCCCATCCACAGCGCGTACGAGTAAGAATCTGCCAGGATGCTCACCGCTTCATGCGCAGGGGTTTCCATGCATTTCCTGCTGTAAAGCATCCTGGACCAGATCCACTGCATATGATGTGCTAAGTAACCCAGTTCACGGTCACGAGGTCATGCAGCATCGTTCTCACCACCGTTCGCAGCAAGCTTGCTTTTCTTCTTTGATGCCCACAGTAGTGACAACGCCGCATGGAACAAGCTTGAATTCCACACCAAGGCCAACAAAGACGCGGGCCCCATGAAAAAGAATTCCTCCAACTGGTTCACTGCCATGAAGCACAAGACCTAGGAAAAGGAATCCCAAGTGGTACAACGCCTTCTGCAATCATCAAAGCCAGACTAGACACAGTGCGCTTCAGACCCCTTGCCTTCTCCAGTTTCATGCAGCATATCCTGTGCAGACATTGGTTTTGGGAAAGCTTGCACCTAAGTATCTAGTCGTTGTTTTAGCAGAGCTCACCGGCGCCAGAATGAGAATTCCTATTTGGATACGGTATTCAGTGATGCAGTTCAAAGCTCAGGATTCAAGCATTAGAGCTCAAACAAACAAATGCCCTTCTGAGTCAACAGCTGCTGCCAAGTGGATGGATCTAATGTTGAGATATCACCATCTTCCATGAATGCTTCTAAATGCTTGGAATCCTTTGGAGGGCTTCGGAGGGCTCGGGCTGCTTTTAAAAAAATTCAGGACGTTAGGGGCAAACCAACAGAACAACACGTTGATATTCATATGTAAGAAAGCTAGACTTGCAATGAAACTCTACACAGCGCTTAGCTCACTTGAAGTGAAGACGGACCCAGCCCCCTCGGGCCCGGGCCACATCCTCAGCCCCAACAGCCTCAGCCCCAACAGCCTCAGCCCCAACAGCCTCAGGAGAAAGCTACCCAGCAGGCTAAGGATTTCTTGCGAACAATTGAGAGATGCGTGAAGCTTTCGCTTCGCACATGTAGTTGCCAGTACAACTTGGCTCTTGTTTGGACTGCGGACAAGGGTTGGTCTCCGAATTGTGTATGTGTCCGAGGTTACCCCGGTAATGCACCTGATTGTCTCCACATCCGTGAAACAGGCGCACGGCTCATGACTCATGATCTTCAAGCACTCGTCTAGTTTCCAAGCTGTTGAACCGCAAACCAACAACTAAGCAGAGCCTGCAAGCTCCTGCCCCAGGGCCCCAGCAATGTCTGAAACCTCGTCCTCATCCTGATGGAAGCGTACCGTACCAAAGTCCAAAAGATACCATGCGGTACTGGCTGCGGGTTGAGGCATGAGACATAAAGATTGAAGTGCATAGTCCCGAATAGAGTGATCCTTTTTTAACGGTTTCTCGTCAAAGTTGTTTGAATCTCCGCGCCCAATCTTGCATGGTAAAGGCATGAAAAGTGAGTGAGTTGATGAGCCACGTTGGGACACTGCACGACTACGGCATTATCTTAGAGCTTCAGGTCCAGCAATTAGAGGGCAGATTTAAACTGCCATTTGCTTACATCAGGGTTCGAGTTCAAGCACGAATGGTAGGGCACTCCGAAAAAAAATTGCACATCTCAGAAGCCCAGATTTACGATATTTCCCCTCAACCTTGACATTATCCAAGGAAAAACCTGGGAATTCCCCATCTTGAGCTGCATATGCACGGCAATTCTCGAATTGGTTTTGTGGGTGCCCGACTGCTTCTGGCCCATTGGAGTAGCTGAGGAAATGGTAGCCATGAGAGCCCCGCGTGCAAGTTCAGAATTTGGACAGGCACTGTGATGGGAGCGACGTAAATCTCGAAATCCCGGCAGCTGCCCCCAGGTCCAAACCTTCACACCTTCATTCCAGCCATTTGGCAACAACACAGATGTTGGTGGACCTGGAGGCGAGAATCGTAATCTCAAGCGGAGCAGAGTCTGGGGGGTCAAGCGGACCTTGTGCTCCCAATCCCCGACCCAGCCCCGCCTGCATGATTCGGCACGAAAAATTAAAAAGGTTCTGCTACTGAATCCTGCGATGCTAAGTGCTCCTGTAAATTACTCCTGCTTCGGCCACACGTTGGCCTGGCAATCCCTTATAGTACTAGTACGAATCAATGCAAGCCCTCGAGTTTCCATGTCCGATGTCGCCAATGATCTGCATGTTAATGTTACATGTGAACTGATTCTTATGATGATAAGTACGCCCATGGAGCAATGTCTTCCTCTGCACCAGATTGATCACTTCTGGTAGGGACCACTCTGAAAACCCTTGCTTGCCTTTGCGGACACTTGCTATTCATGATACATTTACACATGCCTGTACGGCATCACAGGCGTATTGCTTCAAATACGGCCCACATTAATCCAGGCAGCGCTTAGCTGACATTTTGGGCCAGTGGCTCTTCGGGCGTTGGGCCATCCAGCTAGAAACCCTGAGAGCAAGTGAAAGGTAGCTACTTGGCGTGCTGCTTGCAACTTTAAACTGGGCCTTATGTGTTTCAAGTTGCACAGGGATGAAGGTTGCACAGTGCGCAAGTATGGCTTAGGGCTTTAACTTAAGGGTCTTTGGCCCAGAGCAGGCTTGCAACGAAGCTGCCAGCGATCGTATCCATTTGTGCTTCGGAGAATCAAAGGGCACAAGTTTGAGTTGCGCACTCCAGCTGATGATACCCTGAAGGCTTGGAAAGCAGCATGTTGTGACAATATCATAGCTGAAGAATAGGTCACTACTCACCTAGAGTTCTGACATATACAAGAATCCGATAAAATAGCCTACACCCTTGCCGCAAAGCACATGACCTGCGCTGAGCCACTCCGTGGGAGCCAACAACTCCACTACAAAAGATGCAGCATTTAGTGAACTGTTGAGGTAAGAACGGAAAACGCACTCATCAAGATTCTTGAAGAAGGGGGACGTCAGGCAAGCCCCCAAGGCAGAAACACCTGTAAAGCATGGTAGCTTGCTAATTGAAGATTCCTTGAACATGATGATGTGACGGCAACGTACATCATCGCAGGCCCAAACTCTTGCTACTGCTCAGGCAGACAAAGGCTGGGTTCTGCTTTAGTATCTAGGACTGGTCGCATCAGGGCCGCTTGATGAACCCGAGACCTACCTTTTTCACGCTAAGCTGCATCTGACGGGCCTTCCGTGCGCGCAAGATTCAGGGGCCACGATGGCGTCCGCTTGGCGCAAAAAAAAAACCTGCATTGCCACTATGGCAGCACAAAGTGTTTGAGCCCTGCGCTCAGGCACGGTACCAGACTCGGTACAATACTCTCAGACGGTCCCTCCCTTCGCAAAGGCTAGTGATGAAACTCCCGGCACTGTGCGGGTGTCTAAAAGGAGTCGGTGCCCCTCCTGCACCGTTGCAGTCCTGGAATATGTCTGTACACCACTCCGTAAGTTGAGGTATAACATCTCAATGTAGACAATGCTTCGGCCTAAAATCTTGGCGTCTGTACAAGCCAACGAGTCCACACTTCAGAAGAAGAACCTCGTCAGCAACAAACAGCTCTTGGTGTCTCAGTTTTCTATCTGCAAATGGATTAGCTGGGTGAGCCTATATAGGCACGGAAGCACTTGAGACTTTTTTGGTGCCAAAGCCGCTTGCACGCTACAAGGCTTCATGTTGAGGTGAGGAGCTAAGTCCTTTTGCTAGATTTGTTGCACGCATAAGTAATGCAACGCTTTGAGAAATCCATTTGGAGGATTTCGGCAGTGAACCTCAGGCTTGAGCAGCATCAGTCTACACTGTGAGCAGACTGCACCGCTGCACGACTTGTCATCTCAACTAGTTGTTGCTAGGCTCTCCTATATACAAGCATCATCAGCTTGAAGTTGCTAACCAACTAGAGGAAAAACCAGCTGTCTTTTGAACTCATGATGCTGAACCCCCCCGCGCCTGGCCCACACCTGCTCGCATGCAATCGCGCAGTTGACGAAAGCTGTTTAACAAGCTCCTCGGCTGTTACTTGTAAGCCGCAGCCCGATTTGGCCCGTATTTTGGCGACTGTACGATATTGAGTGTAGTGCCCTGCTTTGCTGCCAGGGGTCGAAATCAAATCAGTGGCTTGCCCTGCCAAACGCCTCACGTGAGACATTAGCACTGCAATTCGGAAACACCCAAAAAGGGCTCCAGCTTCAACACTCTGCGGCTGCCTTCAGGGATTGCATTGCTTGCTCAGACCCACCTCTTGCTTTCCAAACAGGAACCCTCAACCTACGCAACAAACCTCAACTCAGAGGTCTGGTAACTACGAGTATGTGATGAGCAGTTGTTCATTTCCTGGTCGCAGCCGCCCGCGAATGCAGCTCCAGGATCAATTAAGTCTGATGATTCAACCGGCCTTTCCTGAAATGTGCAAAGCCCGTCAGCCTCCAACCTGAAGTCCCTGTTACGTTGCACTCTGTGCCAGTATCGTAGAGTCGTGACCTCACAAACAGCAAGTCCCTGTCAAGAGCTCAAAGCTGCCGAGATGCTTGGTAGCAAGATGTAGAGCTGTATAATAACTTCTGTCCGCCTGGAGCAAGGGCGACTCAAAAGCATAAGAAATATGACAACAAACAACCGAAGTAAGCTTCCGCAGTGTAGCTACCTGGCTGCCAGACGAGAGCGCCTCCCCTCCCAAAGAGCCCTTCGAAGCCATGCCCCCTAAGCTTCGCAAAACAAATGCTAGAACCTGCGCTCAACATAGTTTTCAAATTAAACCCACCAGCAAGAAAGGAGTCATTAACCACTGCACAGACTTGGGGCACGCTGCAGAATTGACATCTCCTACAAAGGTCTTGCAGACATTGACGAAATGTCTACCATCTCTGCGCCTGATTTGGATCTGCTGAAACCAATGCCTCCACAACCTTGTCATGCCCTAGCCTTGGCTTTTGTCTGCTGGGATTCGCTTTGAGGCGGCACTTAGCTTAGTTCGACCCTGCATTCCGGTCTGGGGTGCTACGCGGGCTGCCTGGGCCCGTAACTTTCAGGATCTGTTTTCAAGCGGAATCAAGACCCTTGCCAAGACCAACATGCGGAGTAGACTCTTGGCAGCCAGATGTAGAGCCGTGCCACCGTCGCGGTCAGCCTGGATGCACACAGGACGGAGGGATTCCCGTTGAAGCCGAGTAGCAACTAGCAAGTGCTCAAAGGTAATCAAAAAGCAACGCCAAACTGTTGCCATGAGATGCTGCTCCGCGGCTTCCATGCCATCCTTCTCCTTGAAGAGCATGCCCAGCTCGTGCAGAGTGACAGCCGCAGACTGGTGAGCGAGCTCTCCACGCACCGCCCGCTGCATCTGGAGAGATTCCGTGAGATGCCGCTCTGCTACCTCCAAATCACCCTTCGCCTTCAAGAGCATGCCCAGCTCGTGCAGAGTGACAGCCACGGAATGGTGAGGCAAATCTCCATGCAACGCCCGCTTCATCTGAAGAGATTCCGTGAGATGCCGATCTGCTGTGTTTTGCTTCTGGCTCTGACTTACAAGTACCAATTTTTCCGACAGCTGTCTGGTCGTGACGGCCAATATCTTCGCTGCTCTGACCGACAGCTGTGTGATCGGATCACCACAACCCGGCATGTCAATGAGATCGTGGGTAGACAGATGTTTGTCTACGGGCGGCGGCATGGTGTGGTAAGAGGTGTCAGGCTTGATTGAAGATGCTCCCACGAGATTGCGGATGAGGGTAGACTTGCCATCGCCTGTCTCCCCACAAACCAGTACGCATCTGTTGGCTTCCATCAAACGGCTGATTCGGCTGATGAGGAAAGACTTGCCGGTGCCTGTCTCCCCAGGACGCAGTATGCAAAAATTGGGCTCGGCACGATACGATGTGTCTGCACGTCCTTTATTACTGTGATCTTCATGGATGGCTTGCAGTACCTGCAGGGGTTCTTTGAAATACGCTCATCAGGCTTACAGGTGGGGAGCTGTCCAGGCTCTGGATCCCTGAAGGCTCGTAACCAGTAAGGCCTCGCACTTGCGGCGGGCTTGCTCCAATAAAGTATGCCACAATACACCGCCATAGAAACAGCACCCTTCTTTCCAAAACCGGTTCTGAACCTCTTCTGATCTTGGAGTGCATTTAGGCTTTAGGCATATTATACCAGGTGATAGGGCGGAGCTGTGCATGTGGTTGTGGAGTCTTTGCCGGGCTTGTGAGGCAAGCCACTGATCAAGTATTTGTGTTAACACCAATGTGGCCATGAGTAGAATCATCGTAGTGCAGCAAGAGCTGCGAGGCCTATGCTAATGAACGTGTGGCTCCGTGCTTATTCCAGTTAACAACAGAACGTCTAGCATCGGGCTTGTGAAATGGTGCTGGTGCATCCGGAGCCTCATCTAGATCTGCAAATAATGCCTCCGATTCACGTTCCGGCCTTGGCTTTTGCAGGTGCTTGGATAGACAAGGGGCTCAGAACAAGCTGCTGGCTTCCGCACGTGGAAACCAAGAAGAAATTGCACCACCAGTTCTCCTGTGGAAGTAACGATGTGACAGGCCTCTGAGTGCACACAGATCACAAGGTTGCCCTGCAGGCTGAGGCCCGAATTGCCACTACGCACACAGAATTAGGCTCCAGCACAACCGAATCGGGCACTGGGCGTCACCAGGTACTGCAGAAGCTGGATCCACCAAGCGTGACTTGCCCAGACCAGCCCAACCCACCAAACCGACATGAGCCGGTATTCACGTGACTCTACCATTAAAGCAATACAACCAACAACCTCCTGGTTCTTGTTGCCTAGATGCACGCAAACCCTCCGGCACACCTAACCAATACAACTGGCCCATGCAGCTTTTCGCGTGAGGTTGCCATCAAAGTAATGTTATCACCTGCACCCCCAGAGTCCTTAAGCCCGAATTATCCCAGTTTCTAGGCCGCGACCGCCCAGGCAAGTAGGATACAAAGTGAGTGAAGGGCCCTTCGTAGCAGGAATTTCAAAACAGGTCTTCGCGCTTTTGCACAACGCATCGCCCAGAACACGATCTGTTCTGCTTGCACGAAGTACTCGTTACTCGTTTGTTCCACGCGGTCCGAAGCCGTAAGCTTTGTAGATCATGGGCAGCCTAGCCAGAGTTGGTCATTTGGGTCTACTGCGAGGTCTTACAAAGACATCGCGCAGAATCAGCCGTCTCCACAAATTGAAATTACAAGCAAATGGTCCAAGTCCTGGTGACAGCCGCAGTTTCTTAGCAACACCTGGATCAGTAAGAAACGCATGTCTATCTATTGCCCTGCCGCTTGGGATTGCTCAGCCGCCCATGACAAATCGCAGGAGGCTCGGCTCTGGACATACTAAAGATTAGGCCCAAATTGGTGCACTGTCATCATACTGGGAGTGTCTAGTGTGTTATTCTTGCTGAGTACTCCCTCAACTTTTTGAGAACGCAGAGAATGCCTGGCAGCTCTTAACACGCATCTGCAAGAACATACACGCTCTGATCTTCTTGAGAGATTTGCCAGGAGGCGCTGCCCCCCTGAGCGTCAGAAGCAAGAATGATGCGCCAATCTAATCTTTCTTACGGTCTTTGTTACTCATTCGTTGGGCACGTTTATACCAAGGGTGCTGCGTTCAGGATTCCTGCTATCCTGCCTGCTGCTCATTCGTTTTCTTGTCCTGCCTGCCGACCCTCATGGCCCTTTTCATATGAACAAAACCGCATCGCCAATCTTATCAAAACTTACTACAAATATGCATGTTCTCACGTTCAGCAGTATTGTGCAAATTTGAGGGACAACGCCTCGGACACACCCGTGCCACTTCGAAAGCAGGCACCCTGCCTTGCACGCGCCATATGTGTGCTCTCTGTTCTGCATCTGTTTCCACTGCTTCTGCTGGTGTGGCCGCTGTTGCTGCCGCTGGTGCTGCAGCCAGTGGTGCGGCTGCACCGCGGCCGCGGCTGCGGTTCCGCCTGCAGCTCTCGCTTGCGCTGCTGCGGCTGCGGCTGCGGCTGCGGCGGCTTTTGCTTGCGCTGCTAGTTCGTGCTTGCTGCTGGTGCTTGCTCGCTCTGCTCTGGATCCAGCACTTCAGTGCATCGACGCAGCAACTTTGCTTGCATCTGGGGATCAGCATGACACCAATCAAAGCTGTATTCGAACTTGCTCTTAATCAGGTCAAGTGGCAAACTGGGAGTCGCTTGGCACACCGTCTGCTCGCCTGCTACAGCGTCCTGAAACATGTAAGCAGCTTGATGCCCGCAGATGCAGGATGTACACAATCAGAAATCACAGGTCCCCTTCATGCTAGATCCCCAGAAAGCTCCTCTGAGGGAAGTGTGCAGTGGTGAGGTGTTCTCACACAGCGCGCAGGACCTGAGTGAAGTATTCGCATGGTAGTCACATTGTTGGGCGGCAAGAATACAAATCAGCTAAGTATGTGGCGAACCGGCGTCCGACGGCCAGGAAAGCCTGTAACAATGACGACTTACGGGATCAGCTCTGCTCTAATGTCTGTTCTCATTGACCTCTGTTCAAATTTTCCAGCTGCTTGGCCTTCCTCCGGCTCCACACAGATCGAGCTTGAGCACGCGGCCTGAAGCCATTTCTCCAGCGGCTGCGTGCTTCTTGCAGCTCACTCGTTGAAACCGAGACCAACTGCCCAGACTTAGCACGAAACAAGCACGGCGCATCGCCTTCCCAAAGTGGAATGAGAATCACAAAGAACGCAATGTCTATCACTCTATGCAAGCACTTAATCACAAAAAAAAAAAAAAGCAAAGCAACCAGAACTAAGGGAACCTTCGAAGCACAATCCCACTTGGGCCCAGGCTGAAACCGCTGGAGTAACCTTGGCAGGCGTGGCTTGAAGTGTAGAAAACCTTTAGACTCGACAAAACCACAAGAATCCTGAGGCATTCTAGGGCGCCTCGTGCCCCCAGAGTATGGCCCAGTAATCTGCATCCCAAAGCACAGGCAAGCGTGGAATGCCATCCGAAAGTCCAAGAAAATACTGCAGGACGCGACATTCCTAAATCACCCCAGGAATCACACATGAAAAGTGCTGTTCTGCTTCCCTGAACTTCTAGGTACTTTCCTGGTCAACTTCGTCATGACACAGATATCCGACTGACAATACTTTCGCAAAGCCACATGACAATCATGCGCGAGCCGCAAGTCCGTAAGAAAAATTCTGGGCTCTTCTGGAATCTTTTCTCAACCCTGATTGGCAACGGACACACTTGGCCACCTGGAAGCATGCAAAACACAGGATCATGCCACGGCCCATCTCACGTGACCATACGTCCACCTGTCAGGTCCTGCAGATTTCTGGGAATTCGATTTTCCAAGGTCCCGACATGCTCCGGAATCTCGTCGTTGCCAACCTTTCGAATTGAAGCGGGGCCCCGCTCAGGAAATTTATTTCAAGCATGCGCCCTTGTATCATTGGCTACCACTGATTGCTGCCGGCTGACGGACCCTGTTTAAAATGACAAACGTGGAACTCACTGCTCCTACTGGCCTAGCTCAGGTGTTTTGGGGGGACATGCATTTTCGGGATCCTGGACCCAGAAACCCTGAACCTCAGAGGTTCGCAAGCTCGCGCAGATTTCAAACAAGCTTTCCGTTCAACTGTCGAGCAAACTAAGATCAGCAATTGCGCTTTGGGTGCACCACGTGGCGGTACTGCTTCAAGAAAATCAGAGCAGTTCCGTAGTAATCAATCGGTACGGGGCACTGATATCAACGTGCGCGCATTTCTTGGGCATGTCAACTCTCTCGTGGCAGGCTTGTCTGGTGTTCCTGTCTGGTTGCATGTGCGCCTCGTTCGTAACGCAGGATCAAATCCCGTGATCATGCTGTTCTACAACTCCTGGTCAACCCTGCAAAGTCTGGAAACTTTGTGACATCCTGGAGGGGCAAAATAGCAGATCAAAAGTTCCCACTGGTTAGAAGGGATCCAAAAAGGAAACCACAAATATGATAGATGCACATGTATTGGCAGCTGCGGCCTCGCCACGATTCAGTTTTCAAGACTAGCGGGATGCACCCTGACTGCTTGCTGTCGTTTTAAGAAGTAGCTAAGGTCTCTGGGACCCAGATTGCGGCAACACTTCGCCGCCGAAAGGCTGCTCTCACCCCGAGGCAGCTGCAGCACTTTTGGACTTTTGCACGCACACTTTCGCTCACATAACTTGCTGGCAAGAGCACTTTGATCAACAATCGCAGAGCTACGGAGGCCACAGCCTTCTTTTTTCATATCTCTGTCCTAATCCTGGAGCACTTTCAGCAGTTGTGGACAGCTTCAGCTGCTGCGGGACCAAGCCCGCGAACACCAGCGCCCAGAACTATCTGGGTCGTCGAGTGCTTCCAGTAGATATGGCACGCCTTCAGCTGCTGCAGGGCCAATCCTGTCCAAGCTACGCTCCATTGCAGAGAACCACTCTTAATCTTGAATCGATTGATCGGCTGCTGCACGGCTGAAGCGCACCCCAGGACTGTACCTCTACTTGATGTGCATGGGAAAGCTGGCATGGTCCTCTGCCGCGTCAATATTCTGTGCATCCATCTCTTCACGGATCAGACTTAGTCATGCTGGGTTTGTGACTTGTGCTTAGTGCCCAAGTCAACAAACCCTGCTGCCACGCAGAGACTTACTGTTACTGCCCTGGCAGAACTTGCAACCTCGTCTCAATATGTCAGGCGACTTCGTGCGAAGCTTTGAATTTTTGATAACGCTTATACGTCCGAATTGCAACATGAATTTGCAGAGACTTAGGACTTAGGACATATGCACTGCTTCAGCCGCTGCAGCTCCGCATCAAATTGGGCAGGATGGGTTCTTGCCGAAGACTATCTTGGTTCTCTGCTTGATCAGCCGCTGTGCAGCTTCGGGTGCCGCTGCACCAAACCAATGAGGAGGCAAATGGGACATTCTTGCGCGCATCGTTGTCTTGGTCCTCTGACGCTTTGATCAGCTGCGACACCGCTTCAGCTGCTGTCCGGGTTCAGCATCAGAACTTCGCAAAGGTCAGTGAGCATGCCTCCTGTATGGACTTTTGCTGGAACCAAGGGTGCAGCGGCTTCAGAGGAGAAGCGCAGACCAATAAGATCCACAAACGGAGAGCAGCTCCAAGAAATTCTATGAGGCACTTCAATGAGCCAGTATTCAAGAACTCCCAGAAGCAGAACGCAAGTAGAACAGCAGAACTTTGACAAGCCCACGATGTTAAACAATGTTCCAGAAGCCCTTAGAGGCCTGAAAGTCTTCGTTCACGGAGTCCGCCTCATGCTCCATCAAGTCAGACCTTAGCATACTTCAGGGTTTAGACTTTAAGCACGAGTTTCGGCCTTGAGTTACGGGTTAGGATTCAGAAGCAACTCGCAGACACCCCATGATGCACTCCGGCACACAGTCGTGAGCCTTGCATTACCGCCCAGATCAAGCTTGGGACAGGCAGAGAACAAAAAAATGTTGCTATCAATACGACAACTGTGAGCAAGTGGTGTTTGCCGGCAAGCTACGGTGACCAGCATGCACAACATACTCGGGTTTAAGGCTGCGACTGTAGCATCATGCGCATTCATGCTTTGACAGCTGCATACGAACCAGTACCTTCAACACCCTGCAACGTTCCTTAACCCGCACGCCGGGATCCTAAAACCCAAAGCTCAATGCATCAACAGCCTCCAGCCAGGCGTCAGAGAGCTGAACTCCGACCAGCTGTCCCAGTCATCCTGTTTGTCCTCAGCCTGCTCAGGGTTCCAGGAACGGGTTGAGGAACCGGGCATTAAGGTCTGTCAGAACAACACAGTGGGCAGGCAAACAAGCTTGTGACAGACAACGGCTTTTGATGGCACTGTGCCCCTTGGCTTTCTTTTGGAGCCTGATTCTGGTATTTAAGCCCTGGCTCGGCAATTCTAGAGCACATTGTGGGCTTGGGTCGGGCATTGGCAGGAAGCCTAGTGTCTTTTGGGGTCGGGGGGCGGTGCCACCAAGACTCTCCCACCTGAGCAGCATAGTTATCTTGGAACAGCTCTGAAAATTCCGAACCAGGCCCTGCCTTCCAGCGGCCGTATAAGCATGTCCCTTATTGTGGGCAGCCTAAGCCTTGAGGTCAAGAGTTTGCAGCGCAGCGATAGAATTAAGTTTAGAGATACCATCTTGGGATTCTAGGAACTTCAGCGGGGTTACAGTAGGGGGTTAGGAGCTGCAGGTTTTGGGTCGGACGTGCAAGTCTACACGCGCCTTGGAAGGTCCTGGCGAGGCAAGGGGCCAAAAAACTGAACAAGCGAAAGCACAGATCACCAAAAAGGAACATGAAGGTCCATTCTTCGACAGACCATACAGCGAGAGCGCATTTTCGCAGCGTATCTTACGCGATTCCTGCCTGTAAAGATTAAGGTCCAGCTGAGAATCTAAGAATCTAAGAATCTAAATCCAATTTCTGTTCGCTCCATGCGCGCTGCCTGAAGAGAAAAAGCTTATCCAACAATGCCTCATGGATCTCACCTCTACGTAGCTAGGCCTGTTCAATCCTTCAAAATAGCATGCCAGGTTCAATCTTCATCTTGGCCAGACTTTTTTGCGGGGAGCCAGCTTTGTGTATATCAGCAGCCCAAACCCCAAGCCCAGAACCTTGCAGCTGGGCAAGGTCGATTCGCTCGAAGTGCTGCAAACTTCGTGCTCCTTCTGTTTGCTTAAGGGGTGAGGGTCTGGGATGAAACTGGGTCTTGGAACTGAAGATATTCTCATGGATGAGCCACACTTCCTCAAATGGGGTGCAAGGATGAAAAAATTAGGTGACCACCAATAGCGACTGCACAAATCCCCTTTCTCAGGCTCCTTGACATGCCAATCTCTGTGCGCAAAACTGCAAACTTTGACCGCTGGGCTGAACCTCACACTCACTCCGAGCCCCGAAAATCCCTTACCAAAGGCCTACATCCATTCCCTACATTGGACATTACCAAAACTAATCACAGTAGCCAGAGTTCAACACATCCAACAATCTCACATGCCTCGGTTTACCCGTCCCGCTCGATGACAATGGCGTTGTACCCTACTTTGAAATCTTTCATCCCAAGCCCACAAACCTTGATGCTGAAACCCGAAACCCTACACCCGAAAGCTTACATCTCCAAACGCTGAGTCAGGGCCTCGTACCACCTTTCGAGCCATCGGACAGACTGCCTCGCAGCTTCAGATTTTAATTAGGGGTTCAGAGCGTTGTGAATTGGGGACTTGTTAAGGTTTTTGGGTTTGGGGTTTTGGGTATGGTTTGCAGCCGCAGGGATTAAGGATTCGGGTTTTCAACATCTGGCTTACATTTGCTCTACAAGTTTCTCAGAAAGATTGGTATGACGCGCGATGCCGTGCACGGCAGGCTTCTGGATTGAGATTAGCGCGCTGCTAAGGCGAGCACACGTTGCTGGCATCCATCATTTTGTGAAGTGTTCGCGTGTTTCCGACAAACGAAAGTTTGGGCCTCAGGGTGCGCGACCCACAGCAAGTGGCAGGGACAAAGGACCACAAACGACTGGTCAGGTTGCGACGTAAGGGCTGGAACAGGTGTTCTAAGCGCATTGACACACCTCCGCGTTCCCAAATAGCAGAGCAAGGCCCTTAAGGCACCAGATCGGGACCTGTGCGCGCTCCCCGGCCTGAAGACGATGACTAAAACACTAGCCTAAGCCCCCTGCTTTTTTGTGGTTGATGAACATGCGTCTCGCTCCCGTTTCGGAACTTTGGAGATCAACTGAGGCGCTGCCGCAGAACTTCGCGAAACACAGCACAGACGTGCCTCCCGTCTTCGAAAAGGACAGGTCATCGTGGTCATCATCAACACCACAATCATCAAACAGATGCTGCTAGCAGCACCAAATGCTTAAATCCATAATCACTATGGTCGTATGTGGTCATAAGGTCATCAGCCAGCACTAAGTCACGATCAAGCTACAATTGAATTAGATCTGTTGCTGCTAAGGTCTTCATGATGGCAGGGCAGTTCAGTTGTTGGTCGACCTGGCAATGCGGCCAGCCACAACTAGAAATCCATGAACAGGAACAGGGGCGGAACAGACCCGCAGCGACGCAGTAAGCCTGAGAGGCCTGCAGTGAGGACCTCCCGTAAAGCAAGCAGGAGCATCAGGACCAGGAAAAAACTCAAACATCAGCCGCGAGACTCTTCAAATGCTTTACCGACACAAATCACTTGTCAGATGCTGTCAGGACTAAAGCCTGATGAAGGGTACACTCCCTGACCCCATCCAGACCATTCGGAACTGTTATTCTGTCGAAACATGGGTACTGGTGGCTGGACACTGGCTGATAGGCTACCTGACAAAGAAGCCTGGCTGAGAGCTTGCGGGTTGCCCTCAAGACAGGTACCAAAAGGGCACGGTAAGATATCGAGTGCTCTATGAACGGATTCACACCTTGTTGGTGCCACACCTGGTTAGCGCAAAAAACAGTGCGTCAAACCGATCTGAAATAGTAGTTTGGTGTAAGCTAGTCCAAGCCAAGCCGCAGGACGTGCCAAGCTGCAGACTGGAAAGCTAGCAGAGTGTCCTGAACCGATCCGGCATTTGGTGCTTCAGGTTTTGCACTGAAAGTACAGAAGCTTCCAGGTTTGAAAGCTTAGTGCAGGTGGATTGGGGGGAACGTGCCAAGGTGCGCTGGGCAGTTGATCATCAGCAAGAAGGGAGCATTCAAAAAAAGACCCCAGATCTTGGTAAGTTGGTCCCGTGGAGAACATCGCAATGAGGCTCACACTACTGATGCCACCTTCCCTTCCTGGTTTCAATGGACCCTGTCCGTACCCTCCAAGGTAGGAGATGTAGGAGCAATGACCCTGTCTGAAATTCCTGCCTAAAATCTGAAAAAAATCCTGAATGCAGCCTAGTCTCCACGTTGACGCTTGGGGTTTGTTTTGGGGCATCCTTTAGGATCTGCACAAAAGCTGTCTGAGGGAAAGCCTGTGCAGCAGGCGTCAGATCAGTTGCTCACCGGGAGGTTTGGGGCATTAGCCTTTTTTGGTCATTCCCTGAGTGTACCCTAGTGTACAAGCATTCAATGATAAACCAGTAATCAGTAGACTCCAACTGAATAATACAAGGCTCCTTCTTGGTTTGTACCGGAGTAAAGTCAACGCTGCCCCGCCCCCCCAACTTGCCTTGGTGCCTATGTCTGGCTCGGGAATTCGAGCCCGCAGGGTGCTTTCGTCTATGCGCAGATGGTTCAGAATCTTGCCCATTAAACTCCTGATTACCTCTGCCGCACGGAGATGCCTTTCCGCTACGTGTCGATCAGCCTCTGAAGCCCGCGCAGCCTCTTCGCGGATTTTCAGGAAAAGTATCCGGGACTCGTATAATGGGTCATCCAGTCTGCTCGGAATCGACAGCAGCAATACTCGAAAGCCCTCGTCACTGACGATGCTGGCGTTGATGCTGACGCAGCAGGTTCGCAATTGGCATTGTTGCCAGCGATCTAAGTACCCGAATGTTTCTTCGAGCGTGAGTCGGTCTTCCCAGGAAGCTTGCGAGCATGTCATCCTGCAGACGCGCTTACTATGCGCTGCCTGACGTCTCCCTTTTTGGGCCAATGCCTGCGGAGGGAAGCAACATCCGGGTGAACAGGCACTCTGGTCGCAGATTGACAGACTGGAGTTTCGGAAAAGCAGGGGTCGTGGTTAAAAAAGTCTTTGCGTGCCATCCCTCAGCAAAGCTGGAGACAGTCCTGGTCGCAAGCCTCTGCCCCTAGGAGCCTGGGAGCCTGGATCCCCGACGTACAGGAAAAGACGTGTTAAATACAAATTCCATTTGTGAAAAGACTGGGTCCGTTCTTTGTACCTGAGGCCATGCTCCAATACTAGCCAGGACCCATTCCATACTAGCCTACACCCAACGCACGCCTGCAATTTCCTTTTAAACTCCGCGCGAACCTGCTTCTGCCTGTTCAGGCCTTCTGTGTGCAGCCAGGGCAAGGCCCTTGTTGCACATAGGCGGCGCGAGCAACCTCCTCCTCATAGGGCTCGAAACCTAGCTTTGGGCCTCCTGGGCTGTGGGGCGTGTGAAAGCCATCGAGTGCCTCCCCCATCACCGCAGTCCGGGAAGCCGTCTGCAAACCATGGCAGGGAATTTGCAGTATGACTAGATATGTAGCATGCGCAATGTTTCGGCCCTCTCTGCGCTTTGCAGAGGTTGGGAGGTTGCAACAAAACTCGGCATCTGTACAAGATGGCACTTCGGAACGAGCACCTTGCAAGAAGAAAAATCACACACAGAATCGTCAAACGGCTGGCTTCTGGCTTGGTTTTTCTACCTTCGTTGGGGCTTCTTGTAGCCATCGTACCATGGACGTGCCTTGTCTTCATATTCCAGCAATTGCTGCCTGTGCGTGTTCGGAACTCGGACGGCACCAACCCATAAAAGCCACTCTGAAAATCACTGACCCAAATGTGCGACAAAACAGGAAATGTCATGACTTATCTGGAGGCCCTTCAGCTTACAGGCGAAGAGGCTGCGCTGCTGCAGAGAGTGACGCGGCCTTGCGACGCAAGTCCTAAGCTGCGCAAGGCGCAGTCAACAGTTCGAAGTCTTCAGCAAGCAAGCCGCACAAACTGATGAACTGGCATGTTGGCTGCTCTTGTGTATGACAAACCCGGGGAACCAGAAACGAAAAGGAAGGCGAACAAGCATCCACAAAGTCCTCCATCCAGCGTTCAGGCTATCCAGCATCAGGGCTGATGCCTGAGGGCGCCTACTCTTGAAAACTTGCATTTCTACTTTTACGACTCGTGAGCTTGCTTGGTTGCAAGCTCTCGATGCAGTATAGGCTATGAACTGCTTTCACAAGGGTGAGGCCTTGAGGCTTTGGATTGCTGGCTTGAAGCTGTGAGATCCTGCGGCTCTTCTGTTTTCTAGCAATACTTGCTGTAGAGGGCTTTGGTTGAGCACATCAAAGATTGAAGGTGTTTTGTTGTTAATCTCTCTCACTATGATGATCACGCTTGCAATTGCAACATCATAATGAAGCATCTCTCTTGCTGAGAGGGACCCGTACTTGACCAAGCCACTTACAACATTTAATGTCTCAGCTCAGGAACCTTTGCAAGCAACCTGGCGTTTGGTGACCACTGCAGCAAAAGCAACGTACACTTTTGGAGACCAGCCACTGCAAGATTGATTTCCGGGCTGCTGCTTCTCCACGATCGTCTTTTGCCAGAGCCTACTCGAGAAAGGTTTCGCAGCAGGTGCCGAAATGTCCGCAATTTTCTGGGCTTTGGGCATGTCGGGTATAACTCAAAACAGGTGTACACAATGTATGTGTCTCCGGCACAAACGAATCCTAACTAATTCTTGTTCTAGAGTGCCTGGGCGCTCCGCCCTCCGCTGAATTAAGCAGAGGTGACTTCACTTGGAACCATCTCACTAAGCCCGCAAGTGCGTCATATCTTTAAGCTACGATGCGCTACACGACAACTTTAAACTGGACCTTCGGTTGGTTCCTAGGCAACCTACCCGCCTTCTGAGAATGAATGGTGTTTGTCCGATTGCTGCTTGGGATGGTATTGACTACTGCCCCGACACTGCAACGTGCGGCTGCACTACTCGGGATAGAAGGACTGCTGTTCAGGCTCAAAGAATGGCGTACAGATGCAACTTGAACTCCAGCAATTCCTGTCCCAAGACGCACACCGCCTGGCAAGGAAATGCCTCGCTGCCTCACCTGCCCTTCTACAACACATGAAATGCCTACACATCAGACGGGCAAGCAGAGTGGATCAGTAGCCTGTCAAGTATACAGTGTATCACAGTCTGACTGCCCTTAACAGAGCCTCGTGAAGGAAACTTCTCCCTCTACTTCGCAAACTTCGTCTTCAACTTTTGTGTACAACCTGAAGCTCCAGAACCAAAGCCCCATAAACCGAAGTGTAACCATAGCATATCTGTGTCCAGTTGCAATTCTCTGTCTGGAGCAGGCCGACCTTGGCTTCTCCAGTCCCTTCATGCGTAGAGTTCTGGTTCAAAGCAATGGATTCCAGTTTGAATGAGCCCCCTGGTGAGCAATGGTAGTCACCGATAACCCCAGGCAACATGATGTCGCTGGGAGTTGTTGGGAGGATGTTTTGGACCATCTGTCTGTACGACCACGACCACCTGGAGCTTTCTGGCACACAACATGGGACAGCAGAGCACAAAATATTTGATGGCTTTGGTAGCGACAGATTTTATGAGTTGAAGGATCCAAGCTTTCAGATCGGTGGATGTCAAAGCTGCAAGCCACAAAGTACACACCCCAAAAGCATTCATCTTTGATGGACTTCTGCGAAGTGGCAGGCTTCAGGGGTTGAGCGCCAATTTGAAAAATTCCGTGTGAAAAACATAACACCGCTCGCCCGGCGCCGAAGTGTCAGCCCAGCATGCCCTGGCCCCCTTCTGATCAAGCATCCCCATTCGAAAGTCTCCAATTCGGGCAGGCAGGTGCTTCTGCATCCCATATTGTCACGTTCGTCACTAGTCACAAACTTACCTGTCTTGTTTAGATCTCAGGGGAATGGTTTGTTCAACGATCCATAATGATCCTCTATGGTCGCCATGTCTACTCCTATAGTGGTCCCTACATTCACGAACCTCTTAAGAAACAGACCACCGCCGCCGAGCCGGCTGGTATTCCTTTGGTTTGGCGATGTCCTCTTTAAGTGTTGGCCCCATGCAGATCAATATGCTGATTCTAGCGGAACGAAATAAACATGGTCTGCACTGATATGCCTGATGGGCATGTTGTCTGCCTTTTCGGGTTTGTCGCCTCAAGTTCCCGGCTGCGGTTCTCTTCACAGCGGACAGACTCGCATACATGATACCAAACCGGACGAAATTTCACCAGGCGACGCTGTCATGGAATCCTTGTTCTTGTGGAACATTTCGGCCGACGTGGGTTGCATCAACCCGTCCACCAGGAGAAGCTCAATCTAGGTTCAGGGCGTAGCTTCTGGAGTCTAGGGCTGGGGCATAACCGCAATGAACTTCAGAGAGAATAAGACAGTTGACCTGCTACTGATAGTTCCTCAGAGAGGTTCATGATTCAACACAATTGAATCTTGCCAGCAACGGGTCCAGTGACACTCGCCACGTTTTGCAGCGCGCTTTGGTCCAGATCAGCATGGTTACTGTCCGGCTGTTGCCGCAGAGCATCCTGCAAGCTTTGCACAGCCTTTGAACTTCCAGACCCTTCTGCCTCGGTCGTCGCTGGGATGTAGGAAAACAATGTCGACGGGTTCCGGTGCTGCGTTGTTCTCAAAAATCACACACTCGTTCCTGTAATGACCCAGGTGCATAAAAAAGGCACGACTTGCCAAGATGGTCTGACGCACTAGGATCGGCACGCAGCCGCAATAGAAAATCGACAGCGCTCTCATGGCCGTGTTCGCATGCCCGCATCAAGGGCATTTGGCCCACCTCATCCTCTGCGTGGGGAAGCTGGTGCGCATGCTGGCTCGCATGCTTCCACAGCTCCTGGGCTTTGCTAACCAAACATACAGTTGCACCGTATGCTTCACGAAGATTGCTCTTCAAAAGTCGTGCAGCTCTCAATTTCGTGGTCCACTCAAGCAGGCTGGGAATTCGACCCTGAACCAACGCGGCAAGCCCTGAGGACGCCTTCTAAACAAGACACAGCTGCCTGCAACACCAACGTGTGGCCATGTGCAGCAGCAAGATGGAATGCATTAGCTCCGCTAATCACGGTCAAATTCAAGTCGGCGCCGTTTTCCAGCAGAATCCTGGCATCAGGTGTAGACACTGCATTGATGTGGAGCAATGCAAGGCTGTGAAAGCTCCAAATGCCATTTCGATGCTTGAAGCTCATCAACAAGTCGGATCATTGCCCTTGCATGGTGAGTGCACCAGCCTCGCAATGATCAACTCGCCACGCTTCGCTGCGATGCAAAGAGGCGAGAAACGGTTGAATGCCTGCGTGAGGCGACAGTGCCGTAAATGGAAGCTTTCTGAAAGTCCCGAAAATTGGGAATGCGTTCGCGGGAAAAATACGCATAGGGAGCAGCCAGTATTTCCCTCGACTTGCACAGCAAGCAAAAGCCGGATCTGAACATGCCAGGCAAATGTTTCTCGATTGTGTCACCTTTCCCTGAGAAGTCCGGCAACACCAAACTTCAGCGTTTAGACATTCTGCCTCGACCACCCGCTCGCCTTCTTTCAGCAGGAGCCTTGCCCTGCATCCTTTAAACTGCTGAAGCTTGAAACTGGTAATGTCAAGGATTACAGTAATGTTGCACTAGGTTTAATGTAGGGACCCTCTTTAAAGTGTTTTCGCCGCCGCTTATTCAGGACATGGCCAATGTTTGGGTGATCCTCTTTAATGTGTTTTGGTTTTGGGGCCCTAAAAATACGGGACCGAATCCAGACCATCCCTTTTAAAGTAATCCCCG